GGTAAGATGGAGGGTCAGAGAAAATGAGGAAGACCTCCAATGAGATGGATTGGCCGGGTGGCAGTATTGATGGACTCAAGTGTGGCAGCAGTAGTGACCCTCTGCTGTGCATGGGGTCGCTATGAGTCAGTTCCAACTCGATGGCACCTAACAACAACAACAACAGTTGTTGACCACTACTTGACTATCAGTTTGTCATATTATGGTGACTTGCGTGTTGCTGTGATGCTAGAAGTTATGCCACTGGTGCTTTAAATACTAGCAGAATCACCCATGGTGAATAGGTTTCAGTGGAGCTTCCAGACTAAAACAGACTGGGAAGAAAGAGAACTACTTCTGAATGTTTAGCCAAAATTCTCCATAGAAGCCAGGATGGCAAGACATTGCTATCAGGAGGGACCAATCCCTGGAGAAGGATGTCATGCTTGTAAAATGAAGGGTCAGTGAAGGAAAGGAAGGCCCCAATGAGATGGATTGACACAGTGGCAGCAGCAATCAGCTCAAATATAGCAGCACTGTGAAGATGATGCAGGATCTGACAGTGTTTTGTTCTGTTGTGCATAACATTGCTATGAGTTGGAACCGATTGGAATGCATCTAACAACATATGCATGTGAAAGCTGAATAATGAATAAGGAAGCTATGAAAAGAATTGATGCATTTGAATTATGATGTTGGCAAAGAATGCTGAAAGTATCATTGGCTGCGAGAAGAATGAACAAATCTGTGTAGAAAAAAGTACTGCTGGTGTGCTCCCGAGAAGTGAGATGGCAAGACTTTGCTTCGTGTGCTTTGGCCATGTTATCTGGAAGGACCAGTTCCTGGTAAAGGATATCATGCTTTGTAACTAGAGAGTCAGCAAATGCAAGACCCCCCAAGGATACAGATTGACACAGTGGCTGCAACAATGGGCTTAAACACACAACAATGGTGAGGATGATGTAGGACTGGGTAGTTTTGTTGTGCATACAGTTGCTATGAGTTGGAGTCAACTCAATGGCACCTAAGAACAACAATCTCTTTTATTCTATTGACTACTAAATACAGGGAATGCAGTGTTGAACTAATCAGACATATTTCTCCCTAATGGAGATAACAGTATCGTGGGAAAAACTAGATATAAGCAAGTAGCCACATATCATACTCATATTTGACTGTGGTAAATGCTGCAAGGCAAAAATGCATAGTGCTATGAAAGAAAAAAACAGAATAGTACTAAGGCTTTTACAAGTAATATGGTCACCAGTATTTAGACATCTATTTCCCATTTCAGGATTATTTTTCTGGGGTTCAAGATAGGCTTTTGGAGTTTACTGTAGAATAGGAGAGAGGCTCATGGAGTTTACTGCTTCATAAATGGACTTTCAACCATTTCTCTTTGTTTTAGTTCCACCTTCATTCACCATGATGTCCAGAGATATATGGGGTTTCCCATTACTTGGCATTTTGGAGATTTCGTATTGTAATAAAATAAAAAAACTGTGCTTGGCATTTATTACAGATAGATTGGGGTTCAGTTTTCTTAGGTCTGATAAATCCTTTACCACTTTTCCACATGCTTTATATCTTCCTTTTGTTTTTCTCTTCCTACTCCCATTTCTTCTGCTCTTCCTGCTCACCCTCCCCCCCGCTTGATTGGTGGGGAGGAGTAGTCAGGAGTAAGGAATGAGGGTTAGGGTTAGGACTATGGCTAGATCTAAACTTAGGTTACGATTGGGCTAGGAAGGCTTGGATTATAGTCAGGTTTATTTTATTTTTGTGTGTGAAATCTACATAATTTCCTTTTCATTTGGAAGCTCTCTAACTACATTATTCCTTCTTCTGATTGTGTTTTGTTGCTGTTCTGTTGTAATTATAGTTCTGGTTCTCTATTTTCAGTTTTGTAGGTGTGCTTTTCTTGGAATATTGTTATGTATATTCGTCTTAGAATATACATTCTACTGTTTTTTATTCTGGGTCCAAAAAAATGCCCTTTAGCATTTTTTGTAAGAATAGTCTAGTTTTCACAAATTCACTAAGTTCATGTTTTTCTCAAAGTGACCTAATTTCTCCATTTTATTTGATGAATAGTTTTGGTGGGTATAGAATTCATGGTTGGTAATTTTGTTTTTTCTTTCAGAGGTTTACATATGCCTTCCCATTGTCTTGCATGCATGGATTCTGCTGAGAAATAAGAGCATAGTCTTATTAGTTCGCCTTTGCAAGTAACTTTTCATTTTTCCTGAGCTGCTCTCAGGATTCTTTCCTTGTCTTTGGTTTTGGAAAATTGGGTTATAATATGTCTTGTTTTCCTTTTGGGGTATGTCCTGTTTGGAATTCATTCAGCTTCTTGGATGACTATCTTCTTGTCTTTCATGTTAGGAAAGTTTTCTTCAAACAACTCTGGACAATATTCTCTATAGGTTTAATTGTCTCTTCCTGTTCTGGAATTCTAAATCATACATAAGTTATTCCTCTTGATAGCATTCCATATAAATCTTAGGGTTTCTTAGGGTTTTGTTGTTGTTCTTTTTTCTGATTGCAACTCTATCAGATGAATATTGAAAGATTCTTCTTCAATCTCAGTAATTTGGTCTTCCATTACTTCAATTCTACTTCTTTGCCCTTTCAGTGTGTTATCCTTTTTTGAATTCTTGCTGTTAATCTTCTGGATTTCTGATTGCTGTCTGTGTATGGTTCCCATTATTTCATTTATTTTGTTAATTTGTTTCCTGGGTTCTTCTAAAGTTTTGCCCATGTTTTCTTTGATTTCATCTGCTGCTTTCTCCATGATTCTTTCAAGCCATTGAAGTTGCCTTATTAGCATTCTTTTAAATTCCTTATCAGGTAGTTCTGATACTATTTCTAATGTTATATTTCATGACTCTATATTCTGGTCAATTGTTTGAGGCACTCTGTCTTGCTTCTTTGTTTAAGAAGAAATTGTCTTTCTCTAAAATACTGTGGTGTTGCATTTATATTTGATTGATGCTTGTATATTGATGTGTTTTCAGGCACTCATCACCTATCTTCCGGTAGATGTAGTAGAGACAGAAAGTGTGAATGCAGTTAGTTGTCTATTCAGAGTTTGTGTAGAGTAGTTCAGGGCTTTGTTCACATGTCTACAGAAGCAGGCTTGCTATGCCTGGGGTCTGACTCCAGGCAGAGCAGAAGCTGTGCAGGAAGGGATACAACTGGCTGTTTGACTGGCAAGGACAAGGACAGGTCTCCAGA